GTTGTTTCCTCTTTGACATGTATAAAAGAGACTTCATTCTGTATGTCATTTGAGCTACTCTGCAGTGTGGTCACCATGATACACTCTGTACAGTTTCTTCTTCCTGCAACTTCTTGTAGGAATAAAACCTCACAAGATGATTGGGTTTTAGTCTTTGTTCGTATTCTCACGGGGAATATTTCCATTACCGTAGAGACAGATTAAGGCAATGTGAAGAAAATAGGTGTATAGAGGGAAACTGAATTTACTGTTGAGTGCTGTATCATTTTAAAATAAATCAGGAGAATAATGCATTGTTCAAGGTAAAAAAAAAAAGAAGTGCTGTCGCGGTCTTCATCACAAAATGAATTGCTCTACAGCACTTCATTAAAACCTGACCTGGCCAAGTAGTCAAACTTGTCCACATCAACGCCGTTTTTTTTGTTGGACACAATTTCGTAGAGGAAGGACTTTTTTTCTTTGCGCCCTTCGTACGGCCACTGCAGGGATGACGACACAAAGCGAATCAGGACCAGTTTTATTAACACGTATGTTGTTGTCAATGAATTTACACTGCATAGAAAACATATGTAGGACCATTCCACGAAACAGAGATAAAGCTAAAATATGAACACAATAAACTATGTACAAGGAAAAGCATGACAAATTAAACAGCAGGTCCAATTTCAATTGGAGGTCTAGGCAGAAGAAAAACTTTTTTTCACGATAAAAAAAGGACTCTTCTTGTCCGCCTTTATACTGAGGAGATGTTACAAAATAGTGACATTAGTGTAGGACACAGACTGATTTATGCACAGATGGGGTGAACTTGCCTTTTCTTTCCTTTTTTTTACTTTCTTTATTGCTTTTACAGATTAACAATATTTCCATTTAGTAATTCCTCAGAATTTGACGAGTGACTTAAAGTCAGCCAATTTTCTGTGGACATATACTGTATACAACATCCTAACAGTCTTTATCAGGGTTATTTAGCTAGCTGAACTCAACCCAGAGTCAAACTGTTAAGCACAAGAGTTTTTGGGAAGGTGATCATGCAGCTCAGTTTTCCCTCCAAATGTTTTTTCACACCTGGGTAGTTTGGAAAAGTTGTTCTGAAACCATAGCCCGGTTTGTTCAGACATATGTGAACACAGCAATCACACTATTTTGGCTCCTCAACTTTTTTGATCTATTTTTTTATTAAATGGTGCACTATGTGCTCTTTTTGTCTATCTTTGCTCTTTGCTGCCCGTTGTAGGATGAATAAAGTTTTATCTTCTCTTATCTTATATTCATACAGTATCTTATCCGACTTCTGAATAACATAATGAGGTGAACTTGCCTTCTGCCCTTCAGATTCCTGTAGAGGTCCAGCAATCATCTCCTTGATGAATGTTATGTCTTCTTCAGGTTTCAGTCCATACTTCTCCATCACTGGTTTAAGATTATTCTCTTTCAGCAGGTGGTCTAGCATGTCACAAGAGCCCTTTTCATGCTGCGAGACACACAGACTCATAAATGTGTCAACACAAGATTTAAAACATAAATACAATAAGAGTACATCTCAAAATGTATGTACAACAACTTACAATGTCCGAGTTCCTAAAGCTCTTCAGAATTTGACAAGCCACTTAATGTCAGCCAATATACTGTATACAACATCCTAACAGTCTTTATCAGGGTTATTTAGCTAGCTGAACTCAACCCGATGTCAAACTGTTAAGCATAAGAGTTTTTGGGAAGGTGATAATGTTTTCTCACCAATCGTTTTTTCACACCTGGGTTGTTTAGAAAAGTTGTTCTGAAACAAAGGGGCGTTTCCCCTTTAGCCCCGGTTTGTTTGGATGTAAACACAACAATCGCACTCTTTTGATCTGAAGTTATTGAATGGTGCACTGTGTACTCTTTTTTGGCTATCCTTGCTCTTTGCTGCTCGTTGTGGGATGAATAAAGGTCATCTTCTCTTATTGAGTGACAAAGAGACATAAACAGATCTAGAAATCCCTTCTGCTTTTAAAAGAGGTCCCTGTCATAAAGAAGTACCTCTCATGAACCATGAATTCAATTTTTATCTTTGTTTGTTGTATCTAAATCTCTGAATCACCAGGATTAATGGTTAAAACAGAAACATTATTAAAATCTCATGGAGCTTCTGAAAAGTGGTAACATGTCAGACAAAAAGTTGACATATTATTACCAAAGAGAACAGGGTATGGGTCATTTAGCAACACAAGCTACAAAGTTCATTGTTATGAAATGTGCATAATCCCATTACACCTGAGAAAGCAAACAAAAAAGAACATCCTGGATTTTGTTTCAAAAGAACAAGCCAGTGTGAAAGGTACATGTGCTTCAGTTTTGCAGTTCCTCTGTATTTCATTTGTTATATTAGAACAGAAATATGAACTTCTGACCTTCCATTCCTCCAATTTTTCCTTTTCTCCCAATTTCCCTTTTTTTCTCTTTTTTTCCAGTGCTTTGGGGAGGAACATTCCATCATACAGATGGGAAAAGGGTCCATGACCTTGAAATGGATAGATAAATACAGGCGTAAACTTGAGAATATTGCTTACAAGAAAGACTGTTATGTGTTTGTAAATGTATGCATGGTCTGGTTGGACTGTGGTACCGAAACGCCCTCTGGGATAAATAAAGTTTTTCTGAGTCTAAATATTATTTTTAAATATTCAGACCGTCCAGTTCTTATCAGAGTCCCTTTACAGACCGAGCTACCACCACCTCACCCCACCCTCATATTTTTTATGTATTAATGCAGAAGCCCTTGCTTTTTTGAAAGATGGAAGGGTTATTTCTGGATCATTTCACTTTCATTTTACTCTTTTCATACCCAATAACATAATTTATAAACTATTATATGTAATATTGAAAAGGGATGTATTACTCACCCAGGTCATGACAGAGGCCAGCAATCTGAACACAAAGGACGTCTCTGTCAGTGATTTGAGTTCCGGCTGCCTTGACCTGAGAGCCTCAGCAAGTTTTCCTGCTAAGTATCCCACCCTTTTTAGACCACAGAAAACATTTTTTTAAATTATAACGCAGTTATCACAATTTATTATATATATTTTTATTCATATTTTTTATTCGATCCATACTAAGACAGGCACTGTTTTCTGCCTTTATTGGTTTTACAAGGTGCTTATGTGAAAACACATGAGTCTTCTCCTTATTTGGACTGAGGTCACCTGTGGGCTGAAATCTGAAAACTTGCTGACTTACCCGATCGAGTGTTCAAAGCGGTTGTGAGACGCTCCAGGGTAAACAAAGTAGACACCTCCAAGCTGCTTTATGAATCGAAGTCTCTGGAACTGAGGTGTGTCAATGATCTTGATGAGGAGTGGGTGTAACTCTATGCTACCATGGATGGGATCATTAAACACCTGGCAGAAAACAAACAAACAAAAGCTAAGAACAATGAAATGTAAAACAATACACCATGAAGACCAGCTCAATTGCTGAGGGCTCTGGGAGTATAGCATAAGCATGAAATGAGCCCAAGAATAAAGCTGATGCTACAAAGAATGTTTTTTTGACTTTACCACTGGTTGGGATATTAAACATCTAGTAGAACAAAGAGAACAAAACATTGGACACTGAAAATGTCCTTTCAATACAAAGCGTGTCTTCCTATTCCTTTTTTTTTAGGATTAAAGGAAAGGAGAACAAAGAGGGTTGGTTTGGATAGTAAAGGTGCACAAAGCTAGCTGTCCTCACCACTGGTGGGGATAATAAGCATCTAGAGAACAAAGCCCTCCCAGTTAATTCGATTTTTAATTTAGACTGATAATGGATAATACATGTACACAGGCTTAACTTTGTGGAGGTGTGTTTGTGTGCGGTTTATTCTACAAGTCGTCATTGTTTGTTCTGTTTATTCTCTCTTATCTCTCCAGCCGCAAAAATGTGGTGTGATGTGTGGTAAGACGTGAAGTATTTTACCTTGGTGATGATCGGTCTGTAGAATTAAAAAAAAAAGCATTAACAGTATGAAGAAGTGCTGAAACTTCCAACTTAAAATGATTTCTTTATAAAGTTGGGATATTGTAAACTGGTTTAACAAAGACAGAGGTACTCACTTTTTTGCCATTTTGCCCCGACTAGATAAAAGAGAAAGAAGTCAGTCATTTATTAAGTAGTCTAACCTCAGTTTTACACAAGCTAAAAGGCAAAATTGTAAATTAAACCATCAGTTTAAAATAACGATACAACTTACCAAAAGCCAACCATGAATTTAATCGACTATAACTAGAAAACCAACCTCCAAATTTTCCTCCAATTGTCCAAGTCCTTCTTTTTGTACCAACTTGTTTCCTCAGCTCCCTGTAACTTTGAAAAATCTATCTATATAGTTTTTAATATTTTGAAGCTGTAAGATGTTGCATTTACATCAAGTTAATGTTTCTGATGCTGATCTGACAAGTGGTAAATGTCATTTAAATTTAAAGGCTTTTTTTTATGACGCTCAGGGTTTTAAAACATCTGACATTTATATCTCCACCACACCCATGTTATTGGTCTTCACCCTCATGATCCTCTTCTTTTATTGATATACCAAACATTTGAAAAATGCATCAGAATTTCTTAAGTCAAATTAACAAATCTAAACGTATAAAGAAGTGAAGAAATGACAGGATGTTAGAAATAAATCAGTATTAGAAGTTACTTCTGAAGAAAAATTCAGAGGTAGCGTGAATGTTGCATGTTTAACCTGCTCTTTAGACAGAGATTTATAGTGTACTCCATTTGACGACTGCAAGTATATCAAATGGCCACAAGATGGCAATGTTACTCAACTCTCTATGGTAAAGTGTGCCCTGACCATTTGATAAAATAAATGCTCTGCTGGAGAAAGTTTTAACAGGTACTGATCTTTTTTGTGTTGCTTTTGTCATAACTTTCAGAAAGGAAACACAAGAAACCCTCAGACTGTAAAAGATTTTCTCATTCTATGATGACAAAAATGTTCAGCCTCATGATGTATCCAGAAGCATGTAAAGGAGGTGAACATCTGTCTGTCATCATTCTATCCAAAAATAAAAGATGAAACTATAATATGTATATATTGACCTCCAGTAACATCCAGAAATGAGCACATTGCAGATGTGTGTCTATTAATGCCAGTAGCTCAGTCTGGAGAGGTGCCAGATCACCTCCTAAGCACTGCCAAGGTGCCCTGAGCAAGGCACCAAACCCCTCCCCACCATCAGCTCAGGAGTGCCCGCTGTGGGCAGCTCCGTCACTCTGACATCTCTCCATTAGTGCTTGTCCATAGGATCCTGTTTGTGCATGTGTGTGTTGCATGGTTAACAGAGTGTAAAAACAGAAATTTCCCCTTGCAGGGATCAATAAAGTTAATCTTAATCTACTTTTTCTTGTGAGATTACTTCTGATTGCAGACATAGAAAGTTGTTCAGGATGATATGACTTTATTCCCAGGGTCAGGTATCTTTATAGGGTTTATAAATATCAATTTTTATCATCTAATTTCTGCCGAGGTTTAAGTTTTCTTTTAAACTGAAAGAAGGATGTCAAACTGATTCTCCGTGCAGCAACACAGATCAAACTTAAATGACAAATTGTAATCTCATGTTTGTATAACTATTGATTTTTTTTAAAGTCAATGATGTACTAAAACTGTAATATCTGGTACTTTTTTAGGCTACTGATTTTGCCATATTCACAAATTCACAAATCAGTACAAAACCACAAAAAAACACAAATCAACATAAAGCAAATGAACATAACGTAAGGACAAAGGAACGCAAACTCTGAGTTCACATGTTTGTACACAGGATCTGATGCTGTTTCAAAAGTTGATCCTCTTTGTAGATGTTGTGAATGATTTTAGCTGATGCCAAATAGGAATATTACAGATCTTGATAAATAATGTCAAACCAATCAGAATAATTTCAAGTAAGTTCCTAAATTTTGTTTTTAAAACTATCATTAATACATGTGTTGTATTGGAAATAATTCATAATATATCAACAAAATAAGAATGAAGTAAGGTGAAAGATCCATTTTACACTCACATGGAGGTTTTTGTTGTTCTCTATAGCAGGTCAGGCTTGGTTTGGATGGAAGATGAAGTAACAGACCTGAGCGCAGGCTTTTATAAAGTTGTGGTTGTGGCTTAAACAGGTGTGGCAAAGAAGTCAGATATCGGGATGCAGATTGGATGGTGTAACCCATTGGTGTTGATCTAGACCAGGAAAGGGCAACTTTGGTCACAGCAAGGGCCACATATATTTAATTCTCACTGTCAGAGGGCCAAATTGTAGGATATTCTTCGGTGGACTTATAATTCAACCAAAGGAAGGAATACATAGCTTTTATCAGCCTCTATGATACCAACATTCATATTTTAACCTCCAGTACAATTGTTAATCCTTAATTTAATATGCTTACTTCAAAATTAAGTTTCTTTTCCAATGCAATGAACAGAGTATTTACTGGTTATTTTAGGATATTTTTCTTTCTTTTTTCAAATGTACACACTAGTGTTGTAGTAATCGAAATCAAGACCGGTCTCGAGACCACTGTTTGAAGGTCTCGTCTTGAAAGTATTTTTACTCTGTCTTGTCTCTGTCTCAGACTGGGCGGACTCCTGATTTTAGATTAAGACCAGTCAAGACCACCTCCGATGCTCCTTTCTAAAAGAACAAATGACTTCAATTCATTTGTAGTTTGATTTTTATCTCTTGGTTACCACCGCAACCTTCCTGGTGTTACTGATGAGTGGTGAGTGACACGCCCGCTGCACACATGATGATTTTAAAAGTGATATTTATGGTCTTGGTCTTGACTTGGTCTCGGTTAGTGTGGTCCTCACTACAACATCAGTACTTAGTATACTTTCATATAAGAGTTTTACAAAAACGCTAACAGTCAATTATATCTCAACTGCATGTGGCCCACCCCTGAATTCTAGATTATAATTTGAATGTAGCCTCATTCTAGGAATCAAAATAAAGGCGCTTTATAGTATTTTGGCGTTGACACTTGCACAAACAAAAAGAAAACAAATTCAAGGGTATGAAAGGATTTTCATAACGTCCCTGCCCTTCCCCAACCGCCTGAGCCCCAGTAAACAGCCTAAAATCCCAGTTAAGTCTAGCTGGTTTTGTTCACTCAACTATACTTTCATCCACACGTGAGGAACCAGAGAGAACGGCCTCTTGGCCTGCAAGACTCTTTCCCTGGATTGCATTAGTAACTCTTGCAGATACTTGGAATACTTTCCCTTTAGTATAAAGCGTTTGGTGTGTGAGTCCATGCTGTGTAGGGAAAAAGTCGATGAGATTGATAGAAGGCCCACACACAACCTAAATGCTTAAAGCTGCAGCTTCCTGAGCTTCTCGTGAAGGACAGCATTATCATACAGCTTACTGTTCAGGACTCAACTTTCAAACTAAAAATCAACCTTTAGCATTTAATATGTCACAAAAAGGTCAAATAAAGAAAGAGTTATTCAAACTTACTGTCCACATACTCCCCATGGGACTGATAGGATTCATTCCCAATGTAAGCAGCATCTTGACCTCAGCAGTGGTCAGATACTCAGATTAGTTACCTGAGTTATAAGAGACATCTCAGAGGCCCTGAGATGATTATAACTGAGCACATCATGCCAATTTAGAAAGGTAAAAATATTGAGACATCTAACAACTCAGTGACATCAGAAATGTGAGAATGTGCCGACATGAGTTGTTATTTTGTGAGGGATAACGTTAAGGTAAGAATTGAATGTACACCGCACTTTATTCATTGACTCCTGTTTTTTAGGTGAAAAAGGAAAGTTTAAAATGTAGTTTTTAAATACATTTTGGGGAGATAAAAAGCACAATCTTCCACTCTTATGTAAAGCATAAAGATGAACACTGAAGTAAAGGACAAGCACCTCTAAATGATTTTTTCTGCTCAGTATTTTGTCAACAAAACATGTTTTGTTTCTCTGATTGTAAATGACAACAGAATGACTCAACAAGTGTTGAGAATGATAAGCAGTCCCTTAAAACGGCAAAGATTCTGAAATATATAAATACCTGGATCAGGTTGTGTTTTAAGTTGTTTATTTCTTGGACTAAAAGCTCTATGGCGTGGCAGTAGCTCAGTCTGCAGGGACTTGTGTTGGGAACCGGAGGGTTGTCGGTTCAAGTCTGGAGATTGGTCTGGTAGCTGGAGAGGCGCCAATTCACTTCCTGAGCGCTGTCGAGGTGCCTTTGAGCAAGACACCTCTCAAGGCGTTTTATAACACATTATCACCCCCCCCCCCCCAGATTATTAAAGTATTTCTGATTCTGAAATAAATGGAGAATGCGAAATAATGGAATTCAAACATGCAAGTAATAATGTGATTAATTCCAATAAACTATTGGAATCTAGTGATTAATCACAATTTTAAAAAAAAATAATCGTTTGACAGCCCTGAATAAAATGTGAACTTACTCTGAAGTTAAGTGACATTAATTGCAACAGTAATAAAGTGTTTTTCATGAAGTCTTATCTGACCCTCTCCTGCTGAGTGTTTTCTTCTTTCAGATGTATTTTCTATTTAAGTTCATGAAGCATAATGAAAACAGTCTGATCTGAAAATACAGCTCTGTATTTATGGACTCTCTGTAGTAAATATATTGAGAAACTTTTGGTCTTTCATAAACATCTTTCCTCAAGTTCTGTGGATTGGGTTTTGAACAAAAGGAGAAAATGGTGCTGTTAACAATGATTTGTCATTGTTTCATGATATGATATTTATCTGAACTCTTTTATCTGAAAGCTGCAACATGTGATTTGTTTTAATCGCTCATCTCCTGCTGCTTCCTGTTCTACAACAGAAAAAAATGCAAAGTATTCTGCTTTGCAGGTAATTTCTTTACCTACCCCCCCCCCCCACACACACACACACACACACAAACACACACACACACACACATCCACACACACACACACACACAAACACACACACACACCAAACAACAACGACACATGAACACTATTGTCAGTCTCTAACAGCATGAACACTAGAATAACATCTCCTGCATACAGTAATATGAATGTGTATAAATGTGAACAGCAGCATTACAAACATGTGATCCAAACTCCACACACTGTTTCTGTTGATATAAATGATCACATGATGTACAGTTGATTACTGTGTCCTACAAATAAACTTGACATGATGTGATGAAATACAATGTCAACGTTAACTCAACCTGTGAAGCATGTGAGGGCAGTCAAAAAACTTCTAAAGAACAGATTAAAATCCATATCAAGTAGTTGGCAGTTATGATGAAGTAATAAATGAGTGTTTACGTCTTTACAGAAGAATTTATATTTGTTGACTAATACTGTAGCAAACACTGAAATCTAAATAAAGTTAAAAACATCTTCTAAATGTTTATA